GAGTGCGGTAGGGGAAGAGACGGTAGTAGGGGACCGACTCGTCAAACGTGACGTCCTGGGAGGACAGAACACGGCGAGAGGTGGGGTGGTAGAACTGCCACCCTGGCGCGTCAGGGGGGAAGCCAAGGAAGACGCAGGGAGCAGCACGAGGGGACAGCTTGTCCGCAGACAAGTCGCGGACAAACGCCCGAGATCCCCAGACACGGAACGCAGACGCATCGCCAACCTTCCCCGTCCACAGCAAAGCTGGGGAGGTCTCCGGCATGGAGACCCTGGGCTGAAGGTTGATCTGATGCGCCGCGTACCGAACCGCAAACGGCCACAGAAAATGGGGGGCAGCCGCATGCATCATGGACGTACGGGCGACGTCCATGACCATGCCAATGCGGCGCTCAGCAATCCCATTTTGCTGTGGAGAGTCCGGAAGCGTGAAGGTCTGGCGGATGCCTCGTGCACGACAGTAGGCTCGCAGAAGGCCAGAGGAGAACTCTCCGCCTCTGTCAGAGTGCAGACGCAGAACAGGAAAGTCCGAGCCGAAACTCTCGCGGAGCTGGCGACGAGCACCGCGGATCCAGTCGATCAACACCTCAGTGACCTCACCCTTGCGGCGCAAGGGGAAGACTGTGGTGTAACGCGAGTAGTCGTCAACGACCAGTAGGAAGTAACGCTCGTGACCCTATCCACTGACGCGGGCTGGGCCCCACACGTCCGTGTGGAGAGTCTGCATGGGAGCCTCTGTCGGCGGGAACTCGGAGGAGTGAGGAGTGGCGCGCTGCCGGCCCTCGACAAAAGGAACACAGGTAGGGGCAGGCCCCGGAGGAAGGGGAGGGAGGGACCGGGGGAGACCAGAGACAAGGGTACGGGAGGCCATGCCTCGGAGACGAGGCAGGGAGGGGTGACCAAGGCGGTGGTGCCAGAGGAGAGTCTCGTGAGACAGGAGGCGACACGAGCAGGGGGCGGACTCAGGACCAGACCTGGACGCTGCAGCAAACACCTGACCCGACGCAGCTACCTGACCAGACGCAGTGACTGGAGGAGACTCAGTGGTCAGTGTGTACAGGCTCGACCCCGGCCGACGTGTAAACGTGGCCAAGTGTCGGCCCGTCCGAGCGTCCGTGCAGTGGGTCACACGCTGGCTCGCAGGAGTGAACTGGTGAACCCCCGCATCCTGTAGGTCAGCACCACTCACCAAGTTCGTAGAGAACGAGGGGAGGTAAAGACCAGACAGGGTGCCAGAGGGGGCCGCCGGACACGGGAGGACAGTGGAGAAGTGAGCAAGGACAGGACCCCCAGAGGGGTCTGCCAGAGAGACTGCAACTGGCCGACCAAGCGGCGTGAGTGTGGTGCGGTCTCGAAAGAAGGAGCGAGAAGCCCCCGAGTCAAGAGTGAAGGTGTGGGAGGCCGGAGCCGACGCAGTACCTGAGAGAGCAGACTCACCAGCACCTGAGGAAGCAGACGCACTGGCACCTAGAGCAGCAGCCTCGCTAGCACCTAGAGCAGCAGCCTCACCAGTACCTAGAGCAGCAGTCCCAATGCCCGGGTCGGGCGGAAAACACCCGTAAGAGTCACCCTCATCACTAATAGTCACAGCATACATGGCAGCAAGAATAGCATCAAAGTCAAGGTCAAAGATAGCTACTCCCGCCCTAGACAGCTCGCCCCAGCGAGGGATCTCAGTGGCCTCAGGGAACTGGTGACGCCAAGCGTCCGTCAGGCGGCCAAAGCAGCGCTGGGTGGAGTGCGCACCCCCGCACGGCTCACCCGCGCGGTCGCCGGTGCGTAGGACGTAGGTGCACGGACCAGTACCCCCACCCCGCTGGCGTGCAGCGTACCACTCACGAAGCTGCTGAGGGGGGGGGATCTCACGAGTGCGCTGCTGCTGCTGCTGCTGCTGGCGCTGACCACCACCGGAGCCGACCCTCTGCGCAGCGCCACCCCGACCAGCTCCACCTCCTCCGCCGCCGCCTCCTCCACCGCCGCCACCTCCGCCACCTCCGCTCCCACCGCCACCGCCGCCGCCGCCTCCGCCTCCACTGCCGCCACCGACGCCCCCACCCCCGCCACAACCCCCACCGCCACCCCCACCCCCTCCGCCGCCTCCACCGCCGCCTCCACCGCCCCCGCTAGCTCCTCCAGCGCCCCTGCCCCCCTTGCCCTTGCCAGTGCGGCGTCTCCCGCTAGGGGCAGACGCCGCACCGACCGACTCAAGACCAACGAGGTCGGCCGCAGCAGCATAGGCAACAGAGGGCAAGAGAGGAGAGGGGGAGCACCCCTCAAAGACAGGGGCACGAGGGTCACCACGAGAGGCTCCTACAGCGACTATGCTCTTCTCTGCTGCTAGGAGGCGCTCCTCGAGGAGGTCAACGGTGAGGGTGGTGGGGCAAACAGAGAGAAAGTGGTCCCTGACCAGGCGAAGGGTGTCAGGGAGCCGGGTGACTACGTAGTAGAGGGTGATGTACATAGGGGGGGGGTTCTTGGCGCAGAACTCAGGAGGAAGGGCAGCGCGGTAGCGAGTGTCACTAGTGCGCAGGTGCGTAATGAGGTCAGCGACTGTGGGAAAAGCGGCGAGGTCAGGGAAGAGGTACGGCAGGATGAGGCGCCTAAGTGCAGCAGTGGCAGGGGAAGAGTAGCGTGCAACTACAGCGTCGTACAAGGTCTTAGCACTCTTGTACTGACTAAAGTGTGCACGCTCAGCGGTAGGCAAGTGGCGGCGCACAGCAAGACGGGCAGCAGCGTCGCGTGTGGCCCACTGTGAGCGAACAGTGGCGTCAGCATCAGCAGCAGGGGCAGAAGAGGCACCAGAAGTGAGGTCAAAGAGAGAGAGACCGTCTGCCCTGTCGCACTGTAGGAAAAGCTGCAGGTCATCTACCCAGACGTCAAAGTCAATGGCCCGACCCTCAGCGTCAAAAGCGAGGACACTGGGGGTAGCCATGACAGCAGTAGACTGGCAGCTGGAGCAGTAGGGTAAGGGCAGCGCAGTGGTAGAGGTGCCGCTCTTACCGGACAGGGCGGCTCGGGCGGCTCGGCAGCTCGGCGGCTCGGCAGCAACTGCAGCTCGGCGGCTCGGCGACTCGGCGGCTCGGGCGGCTCGGGCGGCTCGGCGGCACGGCGGCTCGGCAGCAACTGCAGCTCGGCGGCTCGGCGACTCGGCGGTTCGGGCGGCTCGGGCGGCTCGGCGGCACGGCGGCTCGGCAGCAACTGGAGCTCGGCGGCTCGGCGACTCGGCGGCTCGGGCGGCTCGGCGACTCGGCGGCTCGGGCGGCTCAGGTGGCTCGGCGGCTCGGGCGGCTCGGGTGGCTCGGGCGGCTCGGCAGCAGCGGCGGCTCGGTAGATCGGCGGCTCGGCGGCGCCGGCGGCTCGGTGGTGACGGCGGGGCCGCGTGGGGACGGCGGCGGGGCCGGGTGGGGCGGCGACGAGGCCGCTGAGGGCGGCGGCGGGGCCACGAAGGGTGGCGACCGGCGCCTTAAGGGTGGGGCCGCGGGGTCGCAAGGGTGGGGCGACGGGGCCAGCAGAGGCGGCGCCGGGGCCGGGAAGGGCGGAGCCGGGGCCGAGAAGGGCGGCGCCGGGGCCGGGAAGGGTGGCGCCGGGGCCGCAAGGGTAGGCGACGGGGCCGCGAGGGCGGCGTGGAGGGGTCGCGAGGGCGGCTCGAGGAGGCCGCGAGGGCGGCGCGAAAGGGCCGCGAGGGCGGCGCGAAAGGGCCGCGAGGGCGGCGCGACGCGACGGGACCGCGAGGGCGGCGCGACGGGGTCGCAAGGGCGACGCGACGGGGCCGCTAGGAAGGCGCGACGCGACGGGGCCGCTGAGGCGGCGCGACGGGGTCGTAAGGGCGGCGCGACGGGGCCGTGAGAGGGGAGCGCGACTCGGGCAGAGGCTGAGCGCGCTCCGGGCAGGAAAAAAAAAGTTGGTGGGCCCTAGGAACAGTTCCCACAGGGGAACCTGCTCTATACCATGTGAAAATGAACAAGGAATGAAATGACTAAGGGAAAGTTGGGTACAAGTACAAACCCTAGAAAGCTGTACCCCATATGTGCTACCCCACTATAGCCTACAGCAGCTAAGTCATATAAATCTGACATTATAAGCGCACCCCCTAAAAAACAATGTTTTTTTATACCCCCAGGGGCGCTTCTATCCGGGGGCTTATGGTATGTGAGACGAGACGGAACATTTTCTATACGTTGATCATGACCCAATGCTGTAAATGCTGGGTGACTTATCAAACGTGACTCAGTCACCATGTCAAGCATGATGCGATGCTGTAAGTAGCTTCCTATTACCGTAAGGCTGGGTGATATATCAAGCCACTTAATAGGGCTGGTGTAGCTTCCTTCGTCTCTCACAGAGCCAACCAATCAGATCTTACACACTTACCGAACGCACAGCATGATCAAACATTAACACTTCACATACAGACATACGAAACAGCTGTCCAGATAGGTATGCCAGGCGCAAAGCCTAAGCCAGTAGCACATACACCCACTGGACCATGCAAATGAACTACACTTAAAGAAACCTCTCAGTTGAGTCTCGGCACAGCCTCTCAGCGAGCGAAGCTATGTCATGTGTCATCAGCAAGTGTGGAGCCGGAGAGCCTTAAACAAAGCTCTCATCTGCAGACATACCCTCTGCTCAAACAAACCCATGTCCCATCATCTATCCCACAGACGCCTCAATATAATCAACGATGACCGCCTTTATGTGGGGCACATGGCACAGCATGGCACACGCCCTGTCAGAACACACTGCATGTACAAGCCTCTCACTGGCAAGCCTCTCACTGGCAGCGCGTGCAAGGCAAGGGCCCAGCCAGCCCCTCATAAAGGCGGTCATCGTCGCACGCGCGTGCAGTGCACACCCACCTAACATCTCGCTGCAAACCAGCTAAGCTTCGCTGTTACCAGTGCGTGCAGCAGAGGCTCAGCCTCACATAAAAGCGGCGGTCATCGGCTCATCATCGCTGCACTGCACACGTACCCGTTATTCAGCCCTCGGAGGCACTCCTACCTCCGCGTGCACAGGCTCAACCCCACATACAGCCGGTCGTTGTTGCACACATATCCATTATTCAGCTCCGCCATCTTCCTTGCACTGTTCTGGAACTTGAGTGATATGATGCGCGCACAGAAGTCCCCCCTCGTCACCGAGTAGAACGCCAGGCACCGCCGCTTCTTCACAGGCGCCCGGCCCACCCTTAGCACTCCGGCTTTAAGTAGCCTCGCCCGCCGCTGCTGCCACGCGGGCTGCTGCCACGGGGGAAGCTGGAAGGGCGGCTTGCCTGTGAGGTGGTTTGCAGTCCAGACGCGTTTCCAAGGGGATTGATGGAGGAGGCCTTGTTGGGGTGAGGGATGTTGTATGGAGGAGCTCTGCTGTGGAGTGAGCTTTCCCAGTGAGTGGGGTGTTGATGGGAGGGGAAGAGCGGTGGGCTGCGGCTGGGTGCGGTGCTGCTGGGTGTGGAGTGGCTGGGTGAGCGAGTAGGATCGGTAGCTGGCGCTGGTGGTGCTGTTGTAGATGTACGCGAAGAGGCACACCTGGGGGCCAGATGGGTGGATTTGGGTGCTGTGAGATGAAGAGCGGTGAGAGGGGGTTCAGTGAGACGGGGTGTGGTGACAGGGTTGAGGAGAGAAAAGACTAGGTGCGGGACACGCAATGGGATGTGCCGAAGGCACCGGATCAAACGGTAAGAGCTGCCTGCACACCAGTAGACACCTCCCGCCAATATCACTTGCACGCCAGTGGAAACCTCCCTCCAATATCACCTGCACGCCAGTAGTAGCAAGCCACCTTCCAGCATACCACCTCCCCTGGTTGTCACCTGCACGCCAGTAGTATCAAGAGGCCCGGGTTCATTCAGAAGAAGGAGAGTGCGGGCAGGTTGTAGCGCTGCATGAGGGTGGCTACTCCCTCCCTCCCTAATACCAGTTGCTACCTGCATGCAGGCACAAGTAACCACCTCCCCCAGGTGTCACCTGCACGCCTGTGATGTCCATGCCGTTGGGAAAGAGGTTGTCACACGCGAGGCCCGGGTTCATCCAGAAGAAGGAGAGTGCCGGAAGGTTGTAGCGCTGCATGAGAGCAGCACATGTGTCCCCTGGCTTCACACCCTCCCACCACGAGCACATTGGGTAGTCCATCCCATCGCCCTCTCGCACACAGATCTGCGGAATGGGGAAAGGGGGGATGGAGACGGGGGGATGGAGAAAGGGGAAGGGATGGGAGGGTGATTGCTCTGCTCGCTCGGCCTCCCGCCACGAGCACATCGGGTAGTCCATCCCATCGCCCTCTCGCACACAGACCTGCGACTGTGAGTGAGGGAGGGGGAATGGAGGAGGGTAAATGAGAAAAGGGGAAGGCGAAGGGGGAAGGGATGGGATTATGCTGGCTCACTCGCTCTCCCACCGCACACACATGGGATGGGTGAATTCCAGAGAAGTCAAGACCAGAGAAGTCAAGACCAGAGAAGTCAAGACCAGAGAAGTCAAGACCAGAGAAGTCAAGACCAGAGAAGTCAAGACCAGAGAAGTCAAGAAAGAGAAGTCAAGAAAGAGAAGTCAAGACCAGAGAAGTCAAGACCAGAGAAGTCAAGACCAGAGAAGTCAAGACCAGAGAAGTCAAGACAAGAGAAGTCAAGACCAGAGAAGTCAAGACCAGAGAAGTCAAGACCAGAGAAGTCAAGACCAGAGAAGTCAAGACCAGAGAAGTCAAGACCAGAGAAGTCAAGACCAGAGAAGTCAAGACCAGAGAAGTCAAGACCAGAGAAGTCAAGACCAGAGAAGTCAAGACCAGAGAAGTCAAGACCAGAGAAGTCAAGACCAGAGAAGTCAAGACCAGAGAAGTCAAGACCAGAGAAGTCAAGACCAGAGAAGTCAAGACAAGAGAAGTCAAGACAAGAGAAGTCAAGACAAGAGAAGTCAAGACCAGAGAAGTCAAGACCAGAGAAGTCAAGACCAGAGAAGTCAAGACCAGAGAAGTCAAGACCAGAGAAGTCAAGACCAGAGAAGTCAAGACAAGAGAAGTCAAGACAAGAGAAGTCAAGACCAGAGAAGTCAGGACCAGAGAAGTCAAGACCAGAGAAGTCAAGACCAGAGAAGTCAAGACCAGCGAAGTCAAGACCAGAGAAGTCAAGACCAGAGAAGTCAAGACCAGAGAAGTCAAGACCAGAGAAGTCAAGACCAGAGAAGTCAAGACCAGAGAAGTCAAGACCAGAGAAGTCAAGACCAGAGAAGTCAAGACCAGAGAAGTCAAGACCAGAGAAGTCAAGACAAGAGAAGTCAAGACAAGAGAAGTCAAGACCAGAGAAGTCAGGACCAGAGAAGTCGACCAGAGAAGTCAAGACCAGAGAAGTCAAGACCAGAGAAGTCAAGACCAGAGAAGTCAAGACCAGAGAAGTCAAGACCAGAGAAGTCAAGACCAGAGAAGTCAAGACCAGAGAAGTCAAGACCAGAGAAGTCAAGACCAGAGAAGTCAAGACCAGAGAAGTCAAGACCAGAGAAGTCAAGACCAGAGAAGTCAAGTCCAGAGAAGTCAAGACCAGAGAAGTCAAGACCAGAGAAGTCAAGACCAGAGAAGTCAAGACCAGAGAAGTCAAGACCAGAGAAGTCAAGACCAGAGAAGTCAAGACCAGAGAAGTCAAGACCAGAGAAGTCAAGACCAGAGAAGTCAAGACCAGAGAAGTCAAGACCAGAGAAGTCAAGACCAGAGAAGTCAAGACCAGAGAAGTCAAGACCAGAGAAGTCAAGACCAGAGAAGTCAAGACCAGAGAAGTCAGGACCAGATCAAGTCAAGGCATCTCAAATGATGGCTGTGGCTTTTCTTTGCGTTTCATGACCCACCTGCTGGCCTGGAGAGGACGCGTGGCAGGATTCGCTGCCGGAGCAGTCAAGACCCGAACACTACAAGTTGCTGATTGCCGGTATGCGGAAAAAGCTGCTTTCAACTGTTTCCAACCCACCTGCTGGCCAGGAGAGGGCGCGTGGCAGGACTCGCTGCCGGAGCAGTCAAGACCCGAACACTACAAGTTGCTGATTGCCGGTATGCGGAAAAAGCTGCTTTCAACTGTTTCCAACCCACCTGCTGGCCAGGAGAGGGCGCGTGGCAGGACTCGCTGCCGGAGCAGTCAAGACCCGAACACTACAAGTTGCTGATTGCCGGTATGCGGAAAAAGCTGCTTTCAACTGTTTCCAACCCACCTGCTGGCCAGGAGAGGGCGCGTGGCAGGACTCGCTGCCGGAGCAGTCGAGCCCAGGATTCAAGCGAGTCAACTCGGTCTCGTCGATTCCGAACAGTTGCGCTACAGGCGAGCAGGAGGAGTCGTTGGTCCAGGAGTAGAAAAGGCTGCAAGCGACGCAGGTGGATGTGGGCGCCACGTTGACTTCGGTGTTGGCTGGGATGGTGGCACATGGGGAGGACTGGCGGGGAAAAGGGGGGAATTGGAGGGAGGAGGGAGGGAGGGAGGGAGAGAGGGAGGGAGGGAGGGAGGGAGGGAGGGAGGGAGGGAGGGAGGGAGGGAGGGAGGGAGGGAGGGAGGGAGGGAGGGAGGGAGGGAGGGAGGGAGGGAGGGAGGGAGGGAGGCAAGGCAAGGAGTGAGCGTGGTGGGCGGGGAACGAGGATGCAGCAGTGGGGAGGGGGGAAAGTGGAAGGGGGTTAACAACGGGTGGGGGAGTGGGAGTTGGTCAGAGGAAGGGGGAAGACGAGCGGGCAGTTCATGTCCACTGGGAAGGTGAGCGTGGTGGTGGGGGGGAGGGTGAGCGTGGTGGTGGGGGGGAGAGGACGAGACTGCAGTAGGGTGGGTTAACGGGTGGGGGAGTGGGAGGCGGAGAAAACAAGGAAGAAGATGAGCAGAGCGGGCGGTCCATGTGAGCCAGGAGGAAGGCGAGTGTGGCGGGCGGAGGGGGATGAGAATACTTTTGAGGCGCCTGAACGAAAAAAAAAAAAAAAAAAAAAAACTGAAATAGGCGCCTCAGAAACAGTCCATGTGAAGAAGGAAGGCGAGTTTGGTGGAGGGAGAGGAGTGAGGGTGGATAAGAAGGGTGGGGGCAGGTGGGTGGGGGCAGGTGGGTGGGTGGAAGAGGAGGTGAAGGAGCAGAACACAAGGGCGGGAGACATGTGTAAGAACACAAGAGTGCCTGTGCATGTGAGGCAAGTGTGCATGTGAGGCATGTGTGCATGTGAGGCATGTGTGCATGTGAGGCATGTGTGCATGTGTGGCATGTGTGCATGTGTGGCATGTGTGCATGTGTGTGTATCCCACATGCAGGGGTACCCATGTGCATGCATACCCATGCACAAGCACGCCCAAGTGAACGCACGCCCAAGTGAACGCACGCCCAAGTGAACGCACGCCCAAGTGAACGCACGCCCAAGTGAACGCACGCCCAAGTGAACGCACGCCCAAGTGAACGCACGCCCAAGTGAACGCACGCCCAAGTGAACGCACGCCCAAGTGAACGCACGCCCAAGTGAACGCACGCCCAAGTGAACGCACGCCCAAGTGAACGCACGCCCAAGTGACCGCACGCCCAAGTGAACGCACGCCCAAGTGAACGCACGCCCAAGTGAACGCACGCCCAAGTGAACGCACGCCCAAGTGAACGCACGCCCAAGTGAACGCACGCCCAAGTGAACGCACGCCCAAGTGAACGCACGCCCAAGTGAACGCACGCCCAAGTGAACGCACGCCCAAGTGAACGCACGCCCAAGTGAACGCACGCCCAAGTGAACGCACGCCCAAGTGAGCGCACGCCCAAGTGAACGCACGCCCAAGTGAACGCATACCACAGCCAGGCACCAGCGTCACTCACAGGGCGTGCAGGTCTCCCGTCCGAGTGTGTGTCTATGTGTATTGCCATATGGTATCATGCCCATCAGCACGCATGCCCATCTGCATGCATGCCCGTCTGCACGCATGCCCATCTGCACGCATGCCCATCTGCACGCATGGCCATCTGCACGCATGGCCATCTGCATGCATGCCCATCTGCACGCATACCCATCAGCACGCATGCCCATCTGCATGCATGCCCATCTGCACGCATGCCCATCTGCATGCATGCAACAGCCGGGCCCCAGCGCCACTCACAGGGCGTGCAGGTATCCCATCCGAGTGTGAGGCTGCCCTTCACATATCCCGGGGGGCAAAGACAAAAGTAGCCGCCCGCGTTGTCGTTGATGCAAGTGCCTGTGAGGCATGGGTTGGACGCCTGCATGCCACATGCGTCCACTGGGATCAAAAGGGGGAGAAGGGGACGGGAGGAAGGGACGGGAGGAGGGGGAGGGGAGGTGAAAAAGACTTCTAAGGCGGCTCAGTAGGTGCTTGTGCCTGAGGCATGGGTTGGACGCTCACGCCTGCATGCCACATGCGTCCACTGGGACAAAAAGGGCAAGCGAGTGGGAGATGCGTGGGGAAGGGGACGGGATTGGGAGAGAGGAAGGGGGGGGGGGGGGGGGGGGGGGGGGTGGGGTGGGGGGGGAGGAGGGCACGGATTAAGCATGAGTTTTGAGGCGATTCAAAAATCGTTTTGAGGCGCCTAAAGATTTGGGGTGGGGGGGAGGAGGGCACGGATTAAGCATGAGTTACCTGCCTGCGATCCACATGCGTCCACTGGGATGACGAGGGAAGAAAAGGGACATGGGAGCATGGGAAAGGGGGGAACGGGGAAAGGGGGGAACGGGGAAGGGGTGGGTGGGGAGAGTGAGAAAGGGGCAGAGGAACGAGGCATGGGAAGGAAGGGGTTGATGTGTGCGTGCATGTGCATGTGTGCATGTGCATGTGCATGTGCATGTGCATGTGCATGTGTGCATGCAAAGAGACAAGGCCGCCTTAGCAAGCCAGCGACTCACTAGGGGCGCAAGTCGTGGTGCCGTCGTCGTTGGTGAAACTGACAAAGCTAGCCGGACACTGACAAGAGTAGCCACCGTCCTCGGGCACACACACGCTGCCCCCACAGGGCTTCTGAGGCGAGTCACAGGGCGATGGCACTGGGGGGTAGAGGAGGGGGAGCGGGGGAGGAGGGGATGGAACGGTGGGGACTGAACACACTCGTAGCAGATTGACGGTCGCAAAGGAGGAGAGCAGAGGACAGGACACGGGACAGCACACAAGAGAGCACAGCGGACAACACACGGGAGAGGCGAGATTTGAGGCGTCTCAAAAGACAACACACAGGAGAGGCGAGATTTGAGACGTCTCAAAAGACAACACACGGGAGAGGCGAGATTTGAGACGTCTCAAAAGACAACACAAGGGAGAGGCGAGATTGCCCGTCCTGCATCGCTGGCCCCATCGCAACTCACCCTGAATGAAAGGGTAGTTGGGGCAACTCACCCTGAATAAAAGGGTAGATGGCATAAGTCACCCTGAATGAATGAGTAAATGGTTTAACTCACCCTGAATGATGGGGTAGATAGCCGGCACGGAATGGATTCCGCAAATGCCAACGCTTCCTGCGAAAGCCATCCTCATATGGCCCTGATGGGGAGGGGGAAGGGGAGAGGGGGAGAAGGGGAGAGGGGAAATGCCGAAACTACGTTAGCCTACAACAACAATACAACTATTTACTACTATTCATACCCATCCATGCCATCACACCCATGCCACATGCCAGCCAGCCATGCCACATGCCAGCCATGCCAAGCCTCGCCATCCATCCATGCCACATGCCATCACACCCATGCCACATACCATCCATCGCCCCACCTGCTCGCCCCACTTGGAGCCCCACGAGGTGCGCACGATCCAGTTGCCCTGCCCATCTGGGCCCGTCATGGAACGCATATCCCTCCCACCACCAGCACCTGCACGTAACCTCATCCACCCCACTGCACCACTCTCACTGCACCTGCTCGCCCCACTTGGTGCCCCACGAGTTGCGCACGATCCAGTTGCCCTGCCCATTTCGCCCCGTGAACTCATACCCCACCACCAGCACTGCATGGTCCACTATGCCTGCTGCCGCACACTTGGGATCGTCGTACACGCCCTGAGGGGGGGGAGGGTTTGGGGAGGGAGTAAGGGAGGAGAAAGTTGAGGGGGAGAGAACGCGTACCAACCACCACGAGCACTGCATGGTTCACGATGCCTGCTGCTGCACACTTGGGATCGTCGTATACGCCCTGAGGGAGAGTGGAGGGGAGAGTGGAGAGGGGGGAGAAGGAGGGGAGGAGGATGGGAGGAAAGTAAGGGAGATGCAAGGGGAGGGGGAGTGAGCGCATACCCCGCCAGCAGCACTGCACCGTCCACGATGCCTGCTTCTGCTTCTGCTTCTGCTTCTGCTTCTGCTTCCGCTTCCGCTTCCGCTTCTGCTTCTGCTTCTGCTTCTGCTTCTGCTTCCGCTTCCGCTTCCGCTTCCGCTTCCGCTTCTGCTTCCGCTTCCGCTTCCGCTTCTGCTTCTGCTTCCGCTTCTGCTTCTGCTTCCGCTTCTGCTTCCGCTTCCGCTTCTGCTTCCGCTTCTGCTTCTGCTTCCGCTTCTGCTTCTGCAGACTTGGGATCGTCGTACACGCACGCCCCGAGGGGAAGTGGAGAGGGCTGCTTCCGCTTCCGCTTCCGCTTCCGCTTCCGCTTCTGCTTCCGCTTCCGCTTCCGCTTCTGCTTCTGCTTCCGCTTCTGCTTCTGCTTCCGCTTCTGCTTCCGCTTCCGCTTCTGCTTCCGCTTCTGCTTCTGCTTCCGCTTCTGCTTCTGCAGACTTGGGATCGTCGTACACGCACGCCCCGAGGGGAAGTGGAGAGGGGGTGGGGCGTGGGGAAAAGGGGGAGTAAGGGAGGTCAAACAGGCGGGAGAGTGACCGCACTGCGCATTGCCCAGCACAGCTTTTGAGGGTCTTAAAAACGAGTCAACTGAGAATCCTCAAATTATTAATATTACTATTGTTATAGTTGTTCTGATTATCATTATATTTACTCTTATCATAGCCAATAAACAGCTACACCAAGAAGTAAATAATAACATCATTACCGATTTGTACTTCTGGAAGGAGGGGTAGCTGCCGCGCACGAAGGCAATGACCGGCTGCACCTGCACGGCCAGCACGAGCCCGATCCAGCCGTAGAAGTCCACCTGCTCATAGCGCGCCAGACCCAATGGCGTGGATGCGGTGGCAATCTGAAAGGGGGAGGAGGGGGGAGGAGGAAGAGGGGAGGAAGGGAAGCAAGGGGGAAAGAAGGAGCAGCAGAGAAGCTTTTGTTTCTCTCTCTCGTCTTCCTTCTCCCCTAGCCTAATCCAAACATGGGCGCCGCGCCCCTCGCACCTTGCCCGTACACTTGCCCTTGCCCTCTTACGCACCTTGCCCGCGTTGCACTTGGCCTGCTTGCCCTTGTACAGATACTGCATCTCAGGCACCACCCCTCCCAGGTCGTTGCTCGCGTCCACCATGTAGTCCAGCGCTGATGAGGGCCACCCGCCCTTGCAGCTGCTGCTGCTAGGCTCGCAGTCCACCACCTGAGGGGTTGGAAACGGTGAAGGAGAGGAAGGAAAGGTGCAGGAGGGTGGTGGAGTGTGGAGAGTGTAGTGGGGAGTGGGGAGTGTGGAGAGTGGAATGTGGGAGTGTGGAGGTGCGCACAACAAATGTCCGACTTTAGAGTCAACTCGGAACCTTAGCCTGCGCCAAGGTGTTCCATTGCCTTTGCGTCTGCTGACGTGCTGACGTGCTGCACATGCTGCATATGCTGGCATGCTGACATGCTGAACGCACCTGCTGCACGGAGATGTTGAATGCACTGTCGTAAGAGTCTAGCTGGTTTGCAATCATAGCCATTGTCAACTCCACCGCGTTCACTGCTGTGATCGCCCATGACGCCTCTGTTACAGGCAGGCAGGCAGGAGGGACACAGGGGGAGGTGGAAGAGGGGTGGGGGAGTTGGGGAAAGGACTGTTTTTCGACGTCTCAAAAGTCGCAATCATGGCTTTTGTCAACTCCACCGCGTTCACTGCTGTGATCGCCCATGATGCCTCTGTTACATGAGAGGGGGGCAGGGCAGGGGGGGAGGTTGGAGGAGGACTTTTGAGACGTCTCAATACTCGCAATCATGGCCATTGTCAATTCCACCGCGTTCACTGCTATGATCGCCCATGACGCCTCTGTTACATGCAGGCGGGATGGGCGGGAGATGGAGGGGGTGGGAGGCACGGGGGAGAAGTGGGTGGGAGGGACGGTAGGTAGACATGAGCAACGAGCGAACTGAACACGTTTGTCTCGAACAGTTTACGAACACTTGGTCAATTCGAACCGAACCGAACACGTTTGACTCGAACAGTTTTCCTAAATGTTAGTGTTCCCCGTTCGAGTATAGGGTCGAATAGTTTTGAGGCAAGGCCGAACACTAAGGTGTTTGACCCGAACTCGAACAGTTTGCCTTGGGGGGTTCTTTCAGTATAGTCACATTCAGGCAGGGCGAGTGTACTAGAAGCAATGTCACGTTCCCTATAGCCCTACAAGAGATATAGTTAGGCTTGGTGCGGATCTGGTGGATATCCAATTTTGCCTTGCTAAACTCCAACCTAAACCGTAATGCCCTTAGTTCCTTTTTTCAACTGTCTCCAACCCTAATCCAACCTTATACCTAACGTTTCCAGCCACAAAGTGGAATTTTAACCGTGGGAATGTGTTAGTTTAAGTGGGTAGGGGGCGGAATGCCATCCTTAGGCTATATCGACGATTGAGCTCATTCTTGAGCTATATCGACGATTGAGCTCATTCATGAGCAAAATCGTCGCCCTCCCCTTTTAGATCCAACCAGCGCATCAAACTTTGACGCGCAGAAAAATGCACGAACACCCAGGTGTTTGCGACGAACACATTGTGTTCGCGAACACCTTGGTGTTTTTCTGCACACGAACACTCGAACAGTCGATGGGCAAAAAAACCATTCAACCACGTTCGAGTCGAACACTTTCGAGTCGAACCGAACAGGGGTTCGATTTTTTGCTCATGTCTAACGGTAGGTACAGGAAAAAAGAGACGAGATAATTCAAGGAGCACCACAGCACAGAACACCACACTTTACCACACCACACCACACCGCACCACAGCACAGCACTCACTGTTTGCGCCCTCGTTGCGCACGCCTTGCACGCCCTGCAGCTAGCGCCAGTCCACGTGCAGGTCAACACTCCAGCAGTCACAGCTGCTGCTATACCCCATGCTCCGACCAGCCGTCATGTGCTAGCACACTGCACCGCACAGCACCGCACCGCACCGCATTGCACCGCACCGCACCGCACCGCACTGCACCGCACCGCACCGCTATGTTGTTGCACTATACGCTTAGCCTGTTTTTCGTATCACGTTTATGCGTTCACGTATAAACGGAAAAACGTGATACGGGGACAAATACGCAATACGCCTGGACGGGCAGCCCGTCGAAAAAAATAATTCTGCTGCGACCGTTCTCGCGATCTGTGATTCTCCGTAACCTAATTTTGACATTTGAAAGTCGAATGCCTTCCCCCGCACCCACCCCCCCCTTCCACCGCACATAACCTCACACCACCTCCCAAACCCAACCCTTCCCTTCCAACCACACTATGGCTTTCACGTCGGCAGCTTCGAAAACCTATGTCGACCGCTAATGTCGCAGCTGGACGCAAGTAGGCAGAGGGGCGCAGATCTGGCATTCCGCCGCCAGATCTGGCATTCCGCCGCCAGCTGTACTTGCAATGCATGTTTGTAATGGGGAAAAACAACATGAAAAGTGGGGAAAAAACCACCATGGCAAAATCACAATGAACATAGGCAACACGACTCACCCCCTGACACTATTTTTCCCCTGCCCGAAACTTTTTTCCCTCTGCCCGGGCGAACGTATTTGGAGCGTATCGTGGGGCGGAAATCCCCCGTCTCACGTTCGTACGTGAGCGTATAGTTCGAACGCGACTGGTACGCCAGTCGCGTATAGTGCAACATAGCCGCACTGCACACCACACCGCATCACAGCACAGCAACAGCACTCACTGCACGCGCCCTCGTTGCGCACGCCTTGCACGCCCACAAGCTCGCGCCAGTCCACGTGCAGGTCGACACTCCAGCAGTCACACCCGCCGTCATACCCCATGCTCGCATATCTCGACACTCGGTTGAGATGCCTCGGCTGTAGCAGCGCAAAGCTGGGCACCGCGCTACAGGCGTAGGCTGGAAGAGGGGTGGGACGAGGGGAGGGGCGGGACGAGGGGAGAGCGTGAGACGAGGGAAGAGCGTGGGACGAGGGGAGAGCGTGGGACGAGGGGAGAGCGTGGGACGAGGGGACAGCGTGGGACGAGGGGAGAGCGTGGGACGAGGGGAGAGCGTGGGACGAGGGGAGAGCGTGGGACGAGGGGAGAGCGTGGGACGAGGGGAGAGCGTGGGACGAGGGGAGAGCGTGGGACGAGGGGAGAGCGTGGGACGAGGGGAGAGCGTGGGACGAGGGGAGAGAAAGGGATGGGCTGCATGTGGGTTGAGTGCGTGCATATATGCCCTACGCGCCATAAGAGGGGGGATCGGAAGGACGGGGACGGAAGGCGGAGAGCGTAAGGAGAGAGCGGAGCGGGGAGAGGAGGAGGCATGGAAAGGGGACGACGGAGGGAGAGCGGGGGGGAGATACAAGCACCGGGGAAGGGGGGGAGTGGGGGAAGGGGGAACGCGTGGCAGGAAATAGGGCGTGGTCGGGGGAAGGGGAAAGCAGGGCTGGCGGAGTATATGGGGGGGGAGATGGGGAAACGGGGGGGACAGGGGGCGTGGGCGGGAGACGGGAGCGGGGGAAAGAATTAGCGGAGAGTCGAGGGTGCGCGGGAGAGTGGAGCGGCGGAATGGGAACAGTGAAAAATGCAAGAGTGCGAATCTTGGGGCGCATCGAACGGCGATGCCTGACACGTGTCAAAAGACGATGGTCGAGGCGACTCAAATGGCGGGATGGGGCGCACTAATGACATCATGAGTGCGGGAGGCATTACTGTATGTACTTCCTGATTACAGGCTAAGAATTACTATGAAGGGTAACGGGCCTGTTTGTGTGGCAGATGATTATCCCCGTTAATACCACCATGCAGTAGTAGAAGACGGGGGAACGGTCCCTTCGCTACTGGAATCGCAAAATAAAGACTTCTCAAAAGCAACGCAATAATGGATGACTACTGGCAACAGGAGTATTGACTACAGCCATAGGAGACTCTACTAAACGGAACGAGGCTCTAACCTGACGACGTTCTGATGCAACTCGCGATGATGACGAGAAGCGACAACACGATCGCATGACGACGACACGACGATGCGACGTCGCAGGGCGACGACCGCGACAACGGCGGCTGGTGACTGTCGCTGGATCTATCATTGATATCGGTACGAGGCGGCATCGCGACGAGCGGCGACTGGGAAGGCCACTACTACTAGCAGTGAAACAACAAAGTAAGATTCTATTCTTTTCTAGTCCGTAAAAAAGTCGTCGTGGTTCTGCTATCAACCCCTAGTCGTTATTTAACAGTTAAGAGATAACTGACAGTAGTAATTGCAACTACACGCGAGTCTTGATCTGCATTGCACGACTATTACTACTGTACAAATTCGTGTATGTTGTAGCGACGGCGACGGCGACGGCGACTAGAACGAACTATGTATGTACAGACCTATGACGGCTAGTACCGTCTTGTCGATTGCTCGATTCGGACTCCCGTGTTGAAGATGCCGTCGAATGTGTTGTTGGGTTGGTCTCAGGGCGCGATCTTGGCTCGTGTCAAACTTTCAGTCAAACTTCGTGTCTTCCGGGACCAGTGGCAAATTTTAGCGGGAAGACCCGAAGTGGGTCTCGGATGACCCAAAGTGGGGCAGCTTCGTGGCATCCCAGGAAAACAAGTGGTTTGACAGGAGCCAGGAACACACCTTCAGTCGAACTATCCTGAAGCTCAAACCACAACGGAGGTGGATTCGGGTAGCTTCAAGAAGACCAGTCCTGAAAGAGGTTAAAACAGGGTGATAGTGACTGCTGGGGGGCTGGAAACTCGCCTGGAAAGGCTCAACAGAGGTGCTAGAATTTGGCTGGATGAGGGAAAAAACTTCAGTATGGTCAAGATTATACAAGCCCACTACAGCATAATTCTTTATGCATCACAAAACAAAGGCAGATAGGTAGCTCAAAACTAGGCTACTAGACAAAGCAACTCCCTTGGGAACTTGGGCACAATTCTGCTTCCATGGACCTTGAGAGACTTTGAGAGCCACATGAGGTGCATGAATAAGAAGGCGCTGGAATTCTCTGATGTAGCTGATTCTGGATTGTAGAAACCTGTAGAAAGCGTTAACACTTCGGCTGAAAGTGATTCCGAATTGTAAAGGGACTTCGGCTGAAATCTGATTGGTTGCAGAAGTTTCTAAATATTTCGCGAAGCCTTGACTCCGTCGCTGACATTCCCCCCAGCTGCTCATTGTGTGCAAAGGGCTGGGGCGGCAGAAACTCGCTTCTCCAATAGGATTCGGGTAGCTTCAAGAAGACCAGTCCTCAAAGAGGTTAAACCCAAAGTTCGACTTTTAGGGTGGGAAGGAATGTCGGTGTGGTCATAATTGGCTCACGACGAATGCGTGTCAGCAACGGGTGCACATAGCAAAGTTGGGAATGATGTCGTTACGAGCCCGACAGCAGTATGGGACACACACTTATACACGGTACGACCATCCATAGAAGGCGGATTCTTGCTGGAATTGAGCAGAGGAAGGGAAGGGAAGGGAACGGAACAGAACGAGTTACAGCACGAGACGAAGGGAAGGGAAGGGAAGGGAACTGTTTTTGCTGTTGCGGTTCGATACAGTGTCGACTCGGGTTGTCAGAATCCCAACCACTATACCATTGGGATAAAAGGGCTTGTTAAGTAGCGGGTTAGTGCGCCCATAACCCCCCAGGACAACGAGCCTGTAACCCTTCCCTAGGATCAATTGGGGATCACCAGTGGACCTCTGACACCCCCCCGCACTGGGATGCCTGAGATGCACACACTGGGATTCGAACCCAAGACCTTCGCTCTGATACCATGTCAGAATCCCAACCACTAGACCATTGGGATAAAAGGGCTTGTTAAGTAGCGGGTCAGTGCGCCCATAACCTCCCAAGACAACGAGCATGTAACCCTTCCTTATGATCAATTGGGGATCACCAGTGGACCTCTGACATGGGTAACTGCTCAGTATCGAGTCAGTTATGTGTCCTTGCTGTCGTACTGTATTTTTCATCGAGTCAAGGGTCAGCGACCTTTGACCTTCGCGTAACCTCCAGCGGTTGCTTTTGTTGACTCGTATTGCTTCACTATAGTGTGCTTCGTTTCGTGTCGATACTTTGATACTTCAGAAGCGTTGAAGTTACTTGTTTTCGCTTCTGGAGTATCGCTGCTGATGACGTGTCCTTGTCCAGTCAGCAGCATGTAGTACTCAAACTTCTGGTTTCCGAGTTTCTTGGTCAAGTAATCGGCTGCCATCTCAGATGTGGGACAGTAGGGTGGTTCGAGTCTTCCCTTCTCGATTTCGTCCTTTACGAAGAAGTACCGGAGGGCGATGTGTTAGAATCAGGAACGGAATGGATGAAATAGAAAGCAGGTGGGTACAAGTAGGAAACCTAAAAGTGTTGTACCCTATAAGAACTACTCCACTACAGCCTAAACAGACTATAGAATATAAGTTTGACACACCCCCATAGGCAAAGTGGGGGAGAACAAGAGGTCACAAGACCAGTCAAGAAAGGCAAAGCAAGCTCAGGGTGGATCACAAAGTCAGCACGCAGTCTGAGCACAAGCAAATGGCCACAAGGCCAGTTCACATGCAGAGTTATATAAAGGAAAACAAACAATACAGTGAACACAACCTAGCAAGTGTAAGCATGCAGGTATATGTATATAGAGTACAGTACAAGCAGAGTCAAGAAGTAAGCAAGTGAGGCACAGTAGGTACAAGGCCTAGAACAGTACAGAAACACTGATGATCACAAGGCTGAAGTGCCTTGGTGAAAACATCAGCAGTGTTGGCCTGTGAGGCCACGTAAGCAAGACGAAGCTGGCCACGCTGCTGCAACTCTCGAGCAAGGAAGTAGCGCAGAGCAATGTGCTTCGTTCTGTGCTCCAGTCTGTGCTCCTGACACAAGGCCAACATGGCCTTGTTTTCGACGTACAGAACTGGAGGAGAACGAGGCGCCTCTCCCAAGTCGGTCAGCAGGTAGGTGAGCCAGCGTAACTCCTGTGCAGCCATGGCCCCAGCGTAGATCTCAGCCTCACAACTGGAGCTGAGAACAGAAGAAGAGCGGGTAGACCGCCAAGAGACAGAACCGGAACCAAGACTAAAGGTGTAACCCTGTGACGACCGCTGCGTAGCCAAGTCATCAACCCAGGAGGCGTCTGCGTGACCAGTGAGGACAACTCGAGCCCGTCCTCCAAGCACGAGCCCCATGCCCGACGTACTGCACAGGTAGCGCAACACCCTCTTCGCAGCATCCCAGTGCACCTTTCGGTGCCTACTGGGAGCCACGTAGCGAGCCAGAAGGCTGAGAGGGTATGCGAGGTCAGGTCGTGTGCAAGTCATCAGGTACATGAGGCAGCCCACAAGCTCTGGATACGGGCCACTCGGCTCTACGGAATCGTCCGAAGGTGGAGCTGAGAGCGAGTGACCGGTAGGCAGAGGAGTGGACTGTGGCGAGGAGTACGTGAATCCGAAGCGCTGAAGGACCTGCTGCACCATGTGTGACTGAGTCAAGGTAATGGTGTGCTGTGCTCTGTCCCGGGTGATCCGCAAGCCAAGATAGCTTGTCAGTTCACCCAGGTTTGTGCACGTGTGTCTCTTCTGCAGCTCGGACTTCACGTGGGCGAGTGCCTCAGTGTCAGCAGTAGCAAAGACGAGGTCGTCTACGTACACGAGAACGTAGAACGACGGCAGAGTGGTGTCAGTGCGTAAAAACAGTGACGGGTCAGCAGTGGAAGGAGCAAAACCAAGAGTAGCAAGAGTGGTCCTTTGTGTGTCGTGCCACTCACGGGGTACCTGGCGGACACCGTAGACTGGCCGCCGGAGGCTTCACTGGGTACCAGTAGGAAACGACCCACTGAAGCCAGGTGGGCGGCGCAGCCAGATCTCCTCGTGCAGGCTGCCCTGTAGGAAGGTCGTGCTGAAGTCAAGCGAGTGGAGCTCGTAGT